CTAAAAATTATTGAGCTTACCTATATTAAAAAATTGAAACCAACTGTCAATTAAATTAATTATGAATACTGCACAAATGTTTTAAAATGTTTTATAACTTAGTTACATTCTCTAATGTTTACATCTTGAAATTTAAATAGTACAATACATAATCTTAGCGTTTTTCACTTCATAGATAAAAATTTAACTTTCAGATGGACACAACAATTTTGACTTAGAGAAAATGATAATGACATTGTGCTAATATCGAAAGTACTCAGAATATGTATCAACATGGTAATTTTCACTCTTCCTTTAATAAGAATACTAAGAAGCTTGTCTGTGAATATCAGAGGATCCTACAGAAAATAATTAGACAAAACTTATTTAAATTATTCAATGAGACATGTCTTAGTGAAAACATGCTGGTAAATATATTATTATTTTTTTTTAATTTTATTTCCTCTGATTTTGGGTGTATACTCATTTCTTTCCGGATCCCAACCAGAGACCTAAGGTCAGAAATGGCACCATGACATTTTCCACTGAGCATTTAAAAAAATGTCACATTTTACATAAAGATCTTGTGAGTACAATCTTTTATATTTCTTTAAGGTATGAGCTACAAGGAATCCCTTCAATGTGTCTCTCTGACTATTTTCCAATCAATCCGAGTGTTCCAACTACGACTGGAATTATTGATGTCCTCATGTGCCTCACTTTTAAGATTTCCATTTCAAGATCCTTGTATTTTGATAGTTTTTCAAAGATCCGTTACAATCTGCAGGGACTACCGTGTCAATATGGAGGCACATTTTTTTTTTCAGTCTTTAATCACAATGTCTGGGCAGTTAGCTTGGATTGTTCTGTCTGTGTGTATTGTGTAGTCCCATAAAAATGTTACATGTCCTATCTCCATCCACATGCTGTTGTTTGTTTCTTCTTCTTCTTCTTCTTCTTCTTCTTCTTCTTCTTCTTCTTCTTCTTCTTCTTTTTATTATTATTATGATTATTATTATTATCGTCATCATTATATTTCGATTTCTGCTATGGTCACACTTCCTAACAAGTCTGCGGGAAGGCCTGATGAGATAGTGGTGGCAGTGGTACATTTCATGATTTGTTTTACCAAATCCCATAATATCACTAGCGTTACATGAACAATGTTCTTTGTGCGCGGGTTGTACTTATCAATAATTTTTTTTGTATTTCCATTAAGCTGGAATTTCCAGGGATTTTTTCAATCAGTTGTTGTGTACCTTTTGTTATCATTCCAAGCGCACCTACTATGACTGGTACTATTCTTGTTTTCAATTTCCACGTTTTTTCTATTTCGATTTTCACTTGCACTTCGATAGTTTTACACTTCCGATAGTTTTTCAAATTCCCTAGTTACTATGTTACAATCCGCTTGACAAGTTTTTTTTTTCAGCTCTTGACAATTATGCCCGGCCGATTTGCTTCAATCTTTCAGTATGTAAAGATGGTGCAATTCCATAGAATTGTGATGCCTTCTGTTTCTGTAACTGGTGTTGGATGATGTTTATATCAGTGTTTAATAACATCTTTTCCAAAGACATTGTCCAGTGTAAGTATTGCCCCACTCTATCGTGACGATAATACAGAACCTCCCGAGATTAGATGTTTTATGATTTCCTGATATTTATCACAGAACCTGAATTTTAGATCCACACTATTATGTATGATATTTGCCTGAATGTTTCTAGTGAAAAGACTCTGGTCTTGCGCTACAAGAATAAAGCGTTCCGTTTTAGCCTTTAATCCAGATTCTCTTAACCATCGAGCAGTGTTAACTTTATCAACATTGGCTTTATTAACACGTTTTGGATATTGACCATGCAGAGTTTTGTCATGCCAGCGTTGTTTCATCTGTTCAAGATCTTTATCCTTGGTTTTCTTCTTCTTTTTTTTTTTTTGCCGCAGCAGTTAGTTCTTGGGTTCTGTTTTGGTTTTCTACTAAATGTAAATCTCGTTTGTATTTACAACCTTCTTTCCTGATTGAATAGTTTTTTGTTTCTGTTTTCGTGTTGTTTTACTAATTGCATCATCCAGTCTTTGTTGTTTCCATGTATGTTAGTAAGCCAATAGTTGTTGTCTTGTATGACAATTCTAGCTGAATAAGATTTCTTCCACCTTTACGGGGTACGTATAAACGGTCAGACATCAACTTTTGGATTATGCATGTTATGCTTAGAAAGAAGTTTAGAATCCAGTCGTCTGATATCATTTTCCAGACCAAGATGAAACTATATTGAACCACTAGGATGGTAAGGCTATTAATGGCCATAATTCTGTTCTGAGAATTCAGATCAATTCTTAATATTAGTTGCACCCTTTTATAGTACTATTTTCGCACTATTTCTTTCATTTTTGGTGAATTCCTTCACTTTCATTTACACCAAGGTAGCTTCATTTTGCTCTAAATCTTTGATTGTTACCCCAGAGTCTAAGCTAATAGAGGAAGCTTGTAAAATTGTGGCTTTGGCATATTTATCCAAAGAGAATTCCATTCCAATGTCATCAGTGAAACATTTTACTCTTATCAGTATATCTTCCAGTTCACTGTCATTCCTGTCATCCATGTAAAATAGATGGCTTATTTTCTTTTGAGCTATCTTATATCCATATTCTGTCCTGTTAAGTTCGCTGGTTAATGCTATTAGGGATATACAAAATAGTAAGGGAGACAAAGAGTCACCTTGAAATATTCCTCTGTTGATATCTATTTCATTAGATTTATAGACTCCATTTACATTATTGAGTTGAAGTGTTTTTTCCATATCGACATTGATGAAATTGATGACGACGGGTGATACCTTGCATATATTTAAAGGCGTTAAAATCCACGAATGGGGTACACTATTGAATGCTTTACGGTACTCTATCCAGGTAATACTGAGATTTTTCTTTGTGTTGGAGCATTTTTCCAAGATCATCCTATTAATTAGTAATTGGGCTTTACATCCGTAAGAGTCACGTTTCCATCTCTTTTGTTCAAGAAGTAGTACGCCATTTATTTCTAAGAATGAATATATCTGTTTTGGATGAATAAATGTTAACAGTTTGTAAGTAGTGCGAAGACATCTACTTGGTCTGTAGATTTTTAGACACTTGTGTCACTATTCTTGGATAGAAGGAAGGTAATTCCTTAGGTTACCTATGCCGGAATTTTAGTAGAATCATTGAGACCATTTCTTGAAGCTCTTTGTCTAGTTTTTTTTTGTGTGCTGTATTTAGACAATAGAGCCAAAATTTAGGAATTTTATCTATTCCTCGAGATTTCCCTTTGTGTACTTTTTTCAGTGGACATTCAACATCCTCTTCTGTGATTCCCGCCCATGTTTGTTCTGGTTTATTTTTCATCCGTTCTACCTCTTGCGTAATCCAATCTACTTCTTTGATATGTTCTTTAAGGTAAGCACATATTTTTTCCAAGAAATGTATAACTTCTTCCACTGTGTGCGTGGGGGCTGTCACTTCAATTTTTTGTTTATTATTATTATTATTATTATTATTATTATTATTATTATTCAGTTATATTATTATTTACAAAAGTTCTTTTTGACCTGTATTTGTTTTATAACCCCATGCCGGGTCAATGACCAAAGCAAGCAACGGATATGGTTTTTATAATGGAGAGATGTGGTAGAAAGATTTTTTTTTTACCAGTATTTCTTAAATCTTTTTTTCAGCTGCGTTTTCTCACAAATCCTAGATCATTAATAAAAAGCACTGTGTGTCGAAAATTTGAAAAATTATTTTATTTAATTCCTACTAAATTTCTTAACGATCTTTGTATGACGACCTGTGAAATTGAGCGGAAAGGCAACTTAAATTAAGCTTAAAGAAACAGATGAATAACAAAAAGTGTTTAATAATTCTGTGTTCTACGATTACTTATACATTTAATGAAAGACAGATTTCTCATACAAGTACAGTATACTATACAAGACTATCGAAACAGACGTAAGTAGCTTTGCCGTATGACATTTTTAAATGTGTGTATGAATATAATATGAAATTGACACAGCGTTGATAACAGACACAAAAAGAAATCTCCAAGAATTCTTATAAAACGTAGAAAAGCGAGAAGAAAGGACTAAACATCAATTGCAAGAAGACAGAATGTAAAAAAATTACAAACTGAAGATACCGAAATCAAGCGAATACAAAAGTTTAAATATCTGGGAAGTTTTTTAAACAGAGGACGGAAAGTGAGACACCGAAATCCGAAGGCACATTGCGATAGTGAAAGAAGCCTTTCAAAAGCTAAGCAAAGTATTAAGAAATAGGAAAATTTCGTTGGAAACAAGGAAAAGAATACTTAACTGTTATGCAGTATCGGACCTCCTATATGGCAGAGAATACTGGACAATCTTATCACATATGAAGAAAAGACTTTGCCACTGTGCCATGTATCCTCAAAGACACATGGCACAGTGGATAAAGGCGTTGGTTAGATCCAGTGACAGAACCCAAAGAGTGTGAGTTCAATACCCGGTTAAGGCAGTGGAGAACTTTCAGAGGGAAAATTAACAGGAGATAACTGACATCCATTAAACATGGCACGTGGAACTAGAACAATCTACCCCAGTGAGCAAAATAAAGGGTTCAGTTCGACATTCCAACCACCTGAAGAAGGCCGGAGCGTACAACGGCTGAAACGTTGGTATAAATATGGCGACAAAGATGAGGACAATAGTCCGAATAATGTAAATAATGTTGAACCTTTCCACCAATAACACATAGATATATCAACGTCCACCCGATTCCTAAAGCAGATAATTGTCTGTATGATCTTCTACAGTGAAAATGGCTGCTTTAATTTCAACGAAAATTTACTTTGTTGTTGTTGTTTTTTTTTGTTTTTTTTATTAGTGCGGCTAATAATAAGCTAAATATTCTGCGGCTCATTGATCGGAACATGCTCCTGTTATACTGCAATTGCACAAACATCCACCTCTGATGTCATGGGCCAACAAAATAGGATATATTATGGATTATTGGCGGGAACATTCAACCTCTGCGGCAGCAGGATGAACATTCAACTGGATGAAAAAACGGTAGCGGGGAGGCAAACTTTATTAAGCGCTACAGAGGATAGGAAGTTGTGGAGATCCTTATCGAACTCGTCCTGAAGGGACACGACATATAGATGATGATGATGATGTTGTTGTCTAAGCCGGGTCGGAGAGCCAAACTTAGAACACAGCTGGTTACGATGACAGTAGAACTGTTTTATCGTTCTGTTTTGGGGTTTTTTTTTTGTTTTGTTTTTTTTTCCCCTCTTTTTGTTTTTTTTTTCTTTAGATTTTGGAAAGTTAAATTCTGCCTGTGGGTATTTGTGTCTTGCAGTGACGCAGCTTCCAGCTGCTTATTTTATATTGTTAGGGATCACCCCCCCAACCCTTGCCCCGACAAGAACTTACCCTTCCCGCACGAAGAAAAGGAAAATTACGTTTTAACCTTCCCCTGGGTCCAATAAATTTGCATACCAAATCTGATGGTTCTACGAGAAGCGGTTGCCGTGTCTGGCGAAAAGACAAACACTTTCTTGGAATTATAAACATGTACGCCTTTCGCAATACGTGGCTATCGCAGATTCATAAAAACCAGAAAATATGATATCCGCCAAAAAAAATTCTAAATTTATAATTATTTATTACCCCCAATCGAAGGTGCTGGAATTGTGACGGTTATCGACAAGGAAATTGGAATTGGCGTGCCGAGTTAAAAGAAAAATGGTCTGGTGCGTCAGATTGAACCAAATTTCTTAGCTGCAAACCTAGCAATTGATTCGATATAAACTTTCCGCTTGATGTTAGCGGCATACGTTATTCCGAGAAGGTGCAATGAATCAATTTCATGAGGGTTAGCATCAGCCATATTGATAAAAAGTAAAAAGTGTTCATCGATTAAGAGAGTAGTTTTGCTTTTGAAGGCGATAAAATTAAATTCCTGGCTCCAGTTAACAAACATAATGGGGTCCCTCTTTCTTTTCGATGCCTTTCTATAGTGAAAATGCTTTTCAATAGTTGACTGTACTAAATAGATGAATAATACATTTACATTATATATATATATATATACTAGCAGTATAACCCGTCTTTGACCGGGTCTTTCATTACTGGGAATTTTGCCGTTCATTTGGAGCAGTTTAAAGTCATCCCACCCGAAAATCAATATTAGTAACAACATTTGGGTGCAACTGAGGCACATCCCTAAATGGGGGGGGGTTAATAATTTGAATAGGGGTGGCCCTGAAAAAGGAACTGTATAATAATAATAATAATAAATATTATTGTAATAATTTAAACTATTTATTTTTATTAAAGCTTTTATGAAATATATATATATATGCAAGAACAGATAGTAAATAGTAAAACGTTGCCGAGAGTTATAATGGACAGGAAGTAGTGGAGAGCCATTGTCGCCAACAATTTGGACGCAAAACCGGAATTGAAGAATTATCTCTCAAACAAAAAAAAATTACTCGAAATCGGATGAAAACTGTGCAAACCCATAAACAACATCCGATCACACACAGACACACACACATACATTTTGAGAATTATAGATATAGATTGTACATATTTTTTTAAGCATTTCACCCCAAATAAGGCGTGAGTGCCACTAGCACGCAAGGGATTACAGAGAGTGAATGTAAGAGCAAAGAGGGGTGTTTGCGGAAAGGATAAAGAGAAGGAGGGAGATCAAGATCAAGGCTTTAGATATCCATTGATATTACATTTAAATTTTTGAAGATTATAGTTATCAGGGAAGCAAGTAAGAGGAAGGGAGTTTCACTGTCGGGAAGTGCGAGAGAATCTGTTGGAGTAGAAGAGGCGTTTACATTTAACTGTTTCGACAGTAAAATAGTGGGACCGAAATGCCAACCTAGTAGCACGCTTAAATTCATGCAGTTGGGGCACCAGTGAAAATAGCTAGTAAGAGCAGATGCCATGAAAATATTTGTAGAAAAAAACAGAGGGAAGCCACGCCACGTCTGTGAGAAAATGACTGGAGTTGAGATGCATATCCGTCTTTGGATTTTGTCGAAAACCTCGAGATAAAAAACGGGGACACCAGACCATATATGGTAACAATATGCAAATATATAATAACCTGTTATTAAAACTAAACTTAATTCAGGACATCTGGAAATCCCTCTTTACTAACTTATAATGCAAAAGATGTAAGTTAATGGTCGAAACTTGCGAAACGAATTTTTTAATTATTCCTTTATACTATAATGCGAATAATCATGGATTAATGTTTAACGGAGTTATTCCAGGTGGTGCTAGGTCACAACTACTGTGTAGTAATTTTGATTCTTAATGCGTAACGCATACAAATTCACCATAAAGAAGCATGTCGTAAAATCAATTGGCTGGAAATATGTAGTTTATTCATGCCGAAAATGACGTAAGCAATAGTTCCAAGACCAAAAGTAACAACACAAATGAAACTCGCAGGTTTCTGGATTATTATTATTATTATTATTATTATTATTATTATTATTTCCTTTGATTTCTGGTGTATACTCATTTCTTTCCGGGTCCCGTCAAGGGACCTAAAGTCAAAAATGGCATCATGACATTTTCCACTAAACAATTAAAAACACACACACACACACACACACACACATAGATAAAGCCCTTCGTAAGGCCTGGGCTGTAGATAGATAGATAGATAGATAGATAGATAGATAGATAGATAGATAGATAGATAGATAGATAGATAGAGATCGGGATAGATAGATAGATAGATAGATAGATAGATAGATAGATAGATGTCAACAGGCCCATATAGACAGATAGATAGATATGAATTATGCTTCTGTTGTTCGCTGTTTTCCTCTACACTCTATTCTTTCAACACGTCTTGTGAGTATTAAGTTTACCAAGCAATCCTTTCTCATTTCAGAAATTTCAACACCTGTTTTAAGTATGAGTGTCTTTCTAATTCCCATTTTCTTTAGAACTGTCACTATGTTCCCATGTTCTGTCAATGGTATTTGTAGCGTCCAGCTTTATAATAACATCTTTGTCGCTTCAATTCCTTACCTCATCTATAAGGAGACTGGTCAACATTTACTGCTATACAGAAGAACAGATATGACATAACAGTTCAACACTCTTTTCATTGTTTATACGGAAATGTTCTTACGTCTTTGCTTAGTTTCTGGAAGGTCTCTTTCTCTATTCCGATGCACCTTGGGCTCTCTGTGCCACAATTTCCACTAAGCAATTAAAAAAACACACACACATACACACACATAGGTAAAGCCCTTCGTAAGGTCTGGGCTGTACTTGTGAGAATATTTTTTGTATTCCTTTAAGGCATGGGCTGCCAAGAATCCCTTCAATGAGTCTGTTCGAATCTTTTCCAATCAATCCCAGGGCTCCAACTACAACTCGAATTGTTGATGTTCTCATGTGCCACATTTTTGAGATTTTGATTTCAAGGTTTTTGTATTTTGATAGCTTTTTGATTTCGATTATGGTCACAAATGGCATCATGACATTTTCCACAGAGCAATTAAAAAAAAACAAAAAAAATATCCTTCCTATGTACTTATAGGCTTATAAGTAAGGAAACTTATAATTAGCATAAGGAAGAGCGTCTATTCGGCCTTAAACTCAATCTAGACCTCAAGTGGAAATCGTACATAGGATCTACCACTAAGGGTGCAAGAAAAATTGTCGGTACGCTGTACTGCTCCAGAAAGTACCTGACACCTCATGCTGACCTCTAAATTTACAAGAGCCACATCGGGTCTATAATGGAGTACTGCTGTCATATTCGGACAGGAGCTGCCCAGTCCCTACTTTCCAGTCTCTACCGGGTTCAAAATTCGTCTCCGCGTCCTTGTGGGTGATAAATTATTCCCCGCACCTGCAACCCTTCTCTCACAGACGAAAATTCGCAAATCTCTCACTGTTCTATCGCTACTTACATGGAAAGTGTTCAGACAAACTGCATTCCGTAATTCCACCATTTCTAACCTTCACGGCTAAGGCCCACCATGCTACGCGCATTGTAGCAAACCAGTCTCATTCTCTCCCATTGGTGATATGTAAATTCCACTCGAGCAGCTTCTTCCTCTAAACCACTGCTCTGTGTAACCGACTCCCAAGTGGATGTTTTCTCGATCACTACAATCTTAAAACCTGTTGAAGTCTACGCTTAACCGCTATCTTTTCCAATTCAAATCCGCATAAACTGTGTCTCTTACTCTGTAGACCTCTACTTCGAGTGGCTTTATACGGGGTGAACCTCAATGTAAAAAAAAAAAAAGACAGTCGAAATTTCTAGGGTTCGTAATGAAGAAAGAGGGATTGGAAAATCTTATACTCACAGGATATATCGAAAGTGAGAGGGCCAGAAACAAACGGCACATAAATTATTTAATAAGTTTGAGTAAATGGATGGAAGAATTGCTAGACATTTTGACGGTCGTTTTCGAGTATAGAATGCAGAAGCTAGCAGTGAATATTTCGCAGACAGTAGGAAAGCGTAGTTCAGGTTCGCAGTGGATATCGCAGCAGAGTAGCAGAGCGTAGTTCTTCCTTATTCATCTTCGCCTGACAAGTTGGCACTGGTCATTCCGGTAGGATAAACAAAGATGGCCGCCTTTATACACGACGGATACAATGTTCTGCGGCTTCTGATTGGTTAATCTTCTATTGGTAGACTATAAAGGGAATTAAGTCATTTTGACTAACTCACTAGTTACATGCATGTATACACAAAAAATTGTAACACCCCCCTTATTTTGGGTATGTTAGGGAATCTTCCTTCAAAATATTAGTAAAGTTAATATTAATATGTAACAAATTTCGGATGGTTTCGGAAATATAACAAAACAAAATTTATTAAGTGCTACAAAGAACAGAAAAATTTTAGACAACCATGATCGCCTACGCCCTGAAGTATGACGACCTACTTAAGAAGAGTGTTTACGTTCGTTACGTTTTCTTACCTAGGATGAGCAATGACTTATCACGGGCGTTTCAAACATGTTTCTTAAGTTTAATTAAAAAAAAAAAAAAAACAATTAAGGGGAAATGGACTGGAAAAGATGAGGAAGTAGAGGGGGTGAAAGCAGTCTCGGTATAAAAAGAGTAGAAAGTTTTATAAACACGAGAAGTACGACTTATGAAACAAAAAGGATTTTTGTAATATCATGTTCCTTCAAGCGACCATGACTCTCCACTTTTTCTTTGTTGTCTTTATTGACATACCTACTTATTAATCGAGAACAATGCTCAATATCAGGCTAGACGTTTTGTGAATAGAAAAAGTATAAACAAGAATAAATAGTGAATGACATCTGGCGATTTAATTCTTTAAGCTACGTTTTGATTTCATTTAAAGCCTGAAACTTCCAGTCAAAATATAGTGTTGACATCTATGCTTTATTGTGTATTTTAGATAGGGGACACAGGGCTAAAGCCTTCTAGCGAGAAACGAAACTGAGTACGAAACAGAAGACTTGTTGAATTCTATGTTCGCAATGCTTTTTTTTTTAGATAGATAGATAGATAGATAGATAGATAGATAGATCAGGATAGATAGATAGATGTGAACAGATCGAGATAGATAGATAGATAGATAGATAGATAGATAGATAGATAGATAGATAGATGTCAACAGGCCCGTATAGACAGATAGATAGATATGAACTGTGCTTCTGTTGTTCGCTGTTTTCCTCTACACTTTATTCTTTCAACAAGTCTTGTGAGTATTAAGTTTACCAAGCAATCCTTTCTCATTTCAGAAATTTCAACTCCCTCTTTTAAGTATGAGTGTCTTTCTAATTCCCATTTTCTTTAGAACTGTCACTTTGCTCCCATGTTCTGTCCATGGTATTTGTAGCGTCCAGCTCTATTCCGATGCACCTTGGGCTCTCTGTGCCACAATTTCTTTGTATTCTTCTCTGTGTCGTGCCCTTTCAGAGCGTCGACAATCATATCTCTACGCAGGTCCTATCTCTCGTGGCCCTTAGCAGCGTTTCTCCTTTTTACAAGCCTTCTCCCTCCATCTCGTCAGGTAGGTTATCTGCTGCCTTTCTCTATTTTTCTCGCCTTTCATATGCCATGTGTGGGTCAACTTCTCTAAGCCTCCTTGTGGGTCCAAGAAACGTCAACTGTCATTTTCTGATTCTGATTAAAAATTAGCTTTTTGCTCACATTTCCTTTAAGATTCCCTCCGCCCATGGTATTCTCAGTATCCTTCTACAGAACCACATTTCTACTGCCTCTAGTTTGCTCTTCATCTGTGAGAAGATTATCTGGCATTCACTGCCATACAAGAGGATTGATAGCACATAGAGTTCAGACGGTGTAAGAGATATAATGAGAAGATACAAGCATATGTCGAGGCAAGAACAAAGATTAATCATAGATATTGTCAACATCTGTGGAATTTCTACGAGTCCAATCAGTCCCAGATTGTTTCAATATGGGATATAAAAATAGAGTTAATAATGTATTGCTAATAATGATTACGATATGGTATCGGAAGTTTCTTAAATTGTACGTATGATTGTATACGGGCGCGTGGCCGAATGTTTAAAACATTCGTTTATCGATCATGAGACCCTCATAATAGTCGATTTATTAGGAGGTGACTTCTTGATATGAGGCGATCCCACCTTTGGAGTGCCCGAAAATCCAACCTTTATGTATGAAATTGGGAAGACAGAACTATTTGAGAGACGTCGATGGTTGTGCTAACACGAAGTCTCAAGTCATCGTGACCGAGGGTTTGTGCGTCGTGGCCTTGTTTAGCCTGTTGATCATGCTAGATAATGCGCCCTCTCCCAGGAACTGTAATAACTAAGGTCCGCTCAGCATAGTTGCCGTATAAACCATAGTGAGTTCTTTGGGTATTGAATAAATACGAATGTGCCTGAGCAGGTGTCAGCAATAGGGATTAGCTAGCCGCCCCAGCTGACAGGCATATGAGCGGCCAGCCATCATATTAGACTATAAGAAAATTAAATGTTCACTACTACGTTCTCTCTACTTTGAATTTCGTGGTGATTACATATATTCATGGGTGGGGTGATTATATATATATTCATGGGTGGGGGTGATTACATATATTCATTAGGGGTGATTACATATATTCAGGGGGGTGATTACATATATTCATGGGGGATTATTACATATATGCATTGGGGGTGATTATATATATTCATGGGGGTGATTACATATATTCATGGGGGGTGATTACATATATTAATATGGGGTACATATATTCATTGTGAGTGGAGGTGGATAGAAAAATTGAATTTATTTACAGAAGTCATATTTTTCTTCAGACATTACTTAACGTTCTTTAAAAAAATTTAATTTTTTAAGTTAGCGTTAAAAATTGACGTCCATGAGACCCATGTTCGAATCTCCCCATGGTCGATTTTTCAGGAAGGTGATTTCTTGATGTTATTGTCATGGGGTGGCGATACCAACGTGTGGCACCTTTAAAAAATGCTTGAAAACCATACCACGAGTTGATTCAAGCTCTTTGCGAGTGAAATTGGGTAGACGGTACTATTTGGGAACCGTCGATGGTTGTGCCAGCACGAACTCACAAGTCACCGTGACCGAGGCTTTGAGCGTACTGGACTGTTCATCACGCCATATAATACGCTATATGCCAGAAACTGTAACTAAAGTCTGTTCCGTATAGTTGCAGTATAAATCATACGTGGGCTGTGTGTGTGTGTTGAACAAGCACAAAATGTGCCTTAGCAGGCGTCTGTAACAGTGATTGGCTAGCTCATAATAAGAAGTAATTTCCATTCAGGTAACTTCTTTGTGGAACAGACTCCTGGCGGGATATTTTCCTGATCATCACAATCTGGACTTCTTCAAGTCTAGAATTAGCTCTTACCTTTCCTGTATAGCCTCATGTGCTTCACTTGCCCATTCTTACACTCATATAACACCACACAGTAGCTCTCTACCTTGAGTGGCCCATGGGCCTTGTGCTGGATGAACATTAGTATAAAATAAATGTTGGAAGATGCTAAATGTATTTACCGATATTTCTACGTAATTTGGGTCATATTTGTTTTCAATAAAAAATATTTTTAATTAACAATATTTCAAATATCTTTATAGAACACAACTAATGACGAAGAATTGTCATCCTCATGAAACCTTTTGGGATTTGATTGTCAAAAAACTTTAAAAAATCAAAATATGACATCCACAGCACATGACAGTGATACTTAAAGATTTTATATTTAAAATATGACGCTAAAGGTTGTCGAAACAAGAGAGGCCCGAGTAAGTGAATAGCTAGCTCCATTGAAAACAGCTTTATTCCCAGGAGATCGTCAAAGTGGCTGGAAGCACTTGCAGAGAATTGAAAGCGAGAAAAAACGTCTATAATCTTGAACCATCAGTGAAAGAAAAAAAAAGTGATTGTACAAGAACATGAAAAATTCATTTAAAAAACATTTTTTTCAAAAGAAAAAAATTGTGGGTGTCAGTCAAATACGAAGGGGAAAAAAGAGAATCTCTCTCTCTCTCTCTCTCTCTCTCTCTCTCACACACACACACACACACACACACACACACACTCACACTCACACACACACACACACACACACACTAGCTCTGTCTTTCTCATTCTCACTTGCTTTCTCTTTCTTCTTTCTCTCGCCCACTCAATCTCATTATCTCTCTCTCTCTCTCTCTCTCTCTCCATATATATATATATATATATATATATTACATGAATCATTCATACAAAAAAACAGATATAGAAGTTAATGATTTAAATGGTGAGAATACATATTCGCAAACAATTTTAATAAAGTACATTAACCCCGAACCTGTAGATGAAAGTTATGATCCCTGTTTATAAATTCCAGTTGCATAAGGTCTTTTTTTAGTTTGTTACAAACTTTCATCTGTTCCTACAGACATTATTAGGTATGGAAATAGATTTGTTTTTGTTTTTACTTCTCGGTAATAACAGGACAACGAAAATATAGATGCAATCCGAAAAATGTTTTTATAAATGTGTTATTGTTAATTGTAAGAATTTTTTTTTTTTTTTGAGCGTGAGGTCGCAAGATGAGGTTGAATTTTTAAATTTTAAGATTGTACGTTTTTGTCCTAATATGGTAATAGGAGAATTCTTTTGTACTGGTAGGTTTTTCAGTCAATGTGGCATGAACTAAATTTTTCAATAAATACAGGAATGTCACAGTTATTACCCGTCGGATCAGTTATTTTAATATCAAGTATGTGGTGCAGTTCAATTTGCATTACATGAATCATTCATACAAAAAACAGATATAGAAGATATTGATTTAAATGGCGAGAATACATCTTCGCAAACAAATTTAGTAAAGTACATTGGGCCAACATTTTTATTTTTAGCCCGGTTTAACAAAGTCTTACCGGACTACCGCCATTTTGTTTTCTTTCTGTTTATTTTTTATCCAGTTCTCGCTTCGAAAAAAATAAGTACAGTTTAAGAAAAGAAAAGAGAAAAAGAAAGAATTTTTTTTTTATTTTTTCCCAATTTTTTAGTTTATACCCTCCCTTATTTTCATTTTCGAATTAATTCTATTTGATTTATTTATTTTTCTTTCTTTAGCGACTTCGGCCACAAACCTTTATTTTTTATTTGGTTTGACTAGTTTCAAAACAGACTTTTGTATTTCTTTTCTTTTTCTTCTTGCATTTAACAGTTTACGTTAATTGTTGACGTGTAAAAAAAGATCTTTTATTGTTTTTCTGAAGTTTGAACTTTAAATTTTTCTTCTCATTCTTAACTAACATTTTCGTTTTTCATTTTTCCTCGGCGGCTTTCTGGCGGCATTTTGAATTCTTTTAACTTTTAAGGTTTTACCAGACTATCTATTTTATATTCTTTCTTTTATTTGCTTAATTGAACTAGCTTAGTTTAATGTAAATATCAGTTTTATTTATTTTTAATTTCGGTTAACTTTTAGTTTACCCACTTTTTATTTACCAGCCTTTATTTTAAATTTTATTGTTTTTCCTTTTTTTTAGTATTTATAAATAGTTTTATTGTTTTCTTTTTCACTGATGTAACTAGATTTTCCATTTTTTTTATTCTTTAATTATAATATTTGTTTAAAATTTTTATTTTTGTGTATTGTCTTTTATTACTTTTCCCCATCTCTACTCCTTTTCCTTTTTTACACTAAAATGGAACAATCACTTAAGACCCGCTGGGTGAATATTTTCCTTCTAAAAATGGCCGACAAGGCGGGTCGGTCAGTAGTTAAAAAAGAACCTTTTTGTGGGCTGCTGCTAAAGCAGACCTCTCCCCTGATAAAATAAAGTCAAAGAAACGTGGAAAGGTTACCCATAAAAATCCTTTGGAAAAGACCAATGTGCAGGAATCAACTAGTTCCGGAAAAAAGAAATTATGACAGTCTCAAACATTACCAATGATGACAAGGTGCCGAAGGAGGCACAAGTTAAGGAGACAGCCGAGAAATCACCCTCTTGTTGGAATTCTTGGAAAAGGCCAAGAAGAAGGTGGGTTCCTTGAAGACGTCCAAGAACTGAAGGTATTCGAAAAGAGAAAGGTGTCAGTCTTCGTGGTGGATAAGCGTACGCACAAAATTAGTCGCTCCATGAAAGACACAGTGATCAAATCACTTTTGTCGCTGGGGATTAAACCCCAAAGAGTAATTAAGGGTTCCGTTTTTTTCATGTGGGACGTACTGCTATCCACAGCCGAAGATTGCCTTGAAATGGCAAAAAGAGTTGATAAGAAAAGACCTTATTCTTAGAACAGAATACGAGGGTTGGAGGAGGACCAATGTGGCCTCAGGTAAATGGAGAGCACCTGACTTCATTTTTTATGCAGCACTTAGGGGCCCTTTCCAACAACTTGAACGGGGGATGGACTTTTGATATAATGCTTGATCATTTGGCCTTCGTCTCCATCCCCAACTGTTTGGATTTTTGAATCCGCGTCGCCTGTAATGGGCCTATCTGCGACAGGGGCCGGTGAGGACAATTCCTCGGTTGGGTCTTCACCCACATTACCCCCACCCCCCAAACCGCCTCCCACAAGTGTAGATAAGGAGAAGGAAGAGGAAGAATGGCGTGTCGTGGGTAGGGGCAGAGGGAAGAACCGAACAGCGAGGACTCTGTCTCAGCATGACCCCAGGGATGAAAACACCTACAGTCCAATTCCCTCTACCGGCTCTGAGGGTGATGCATCGGTGTAGTATGACAAAACAGTATCAGCCACCGAGAAAATGAACGAGCATAGTTGGCAGAAGATCCTAGACCTGAAAAAACTAAAAGGATAAACTTGATTCAAACCGGATTTTGCCCGATTTGAATCAAGTTTCTCAAACCAAAATCGCTGAGGGCGCCGGCCCCCTCATCCTCTGCCCCGTCTTCCCCT